GTATTGAAACTTTTTCTCAGAGTTTATTGAGTTGTTGCCAGTTTCCTAACTCATCTCAAGCCATTGTTGCTAGTCCTTCTTGTTTTCAATCAGCCTCAATAATACAGCAGAGCTGTTACGAAACATGCAGAGACTTTCCAACATGATCAGAAACATATCTGGACCATTAAAAGTGCCACGTGCACATTAAAGCAAATGACTTCCTCAAAACAAGAAACCCAAAAAGCAGCCTGATGTCAGACAGAGTTATCAACTCCTTACACTCTGAAAGTGAGAAATATTCAGTGCATTCCACATTTTTTCCAGTTTCACCTACTTCCAAAGTGTATGGAGAAGAACAAGGGGCTAAAGAGGTTGAAGATGTAAAGCATTGCAGCCTGTGGCTTTTAGTGTCAGGAATAACACTGTATAACACTCCACTTAATGCATCCCTTCTCCAGTGATCAAATAAAACCTACACCCATCCATTCACACAGACTGAATATATAAATATTTGCTTGTTTTTTGTTTGTTTCTTTTTTGTGGTAAAAATGTTTTGTTATCTGTAAGTAATTCCTCTTTTCCTCTAAATGTCCAAGACTGGGTAGGTTTGATAAGATCAGAATATTTAAATTTTTGCATGGCTGTTTAGTTTAATTTTCCCTCATATTACTAAAAATCAATCTTCACAACAAAATCCCAGCAAAAAAAAAGTATGTTGAGCTATGTAAGCCAGTCAATTTGTTCATCACAAGAAAAGGGCATAAGACCTTGTACTGTTGCTTGAGATCTCAGTAGGTCTAAGAGGGCAGAGGATTGAAACAGGATTCACTTTGGGATCAGACTGATCATTAGGCTGTTCCAAATATACCAGAGTGAAGGACGAGATAAGAACTGAGTGACTGACAGACTCCTGCAATGTAAACATCAGACCTTATAGGACAGTGATATTAAAGTCATTTTAAACTGTGGGCCACAAACATACAGCCCATTTTGATGTGAAGTGAGCTGGACCAGTGAAACAGTATTTCTTAGTTTTTCTGTATGATAAAGAAAAGCTGCAGTCATAGATCAAATAAATGTGTCACTATGACTGTTTGGGCTTAAACTGTAAGAAATAAATGTGTAAAATTACAGAAAAGGTTCTGGTAGATCATTTCCCAGACTGTGCTGTAAAACAGAAAGGTTCTGTTCTTTACGGAAAGATCATAATTTCTATAGCTGATAGTAAAAAAAAACAGGACCTTTTCTGTTATTTAATTTTGTCTGTTACTTAATTACAGATAGTATGGCAAGTTTATTTATATAGCACAATTCAACAGCAAGGTGATTCAAAGTGCTTTACAGAGACATTAAAAAACAAAAACAAATAAAAAAGCATGATTTAAAATGGAAAAAAAGAAAGGAACAGTAGATAAAATCAGTAGTTAAAATGTAAGTTTTGAAATATAATTTGAAGTATAATTAAGTCCAGATCCCAAATTGGATTTGGATTATAATTAAGTAACAAATACTATACATATGCTATAAACTAATAGATATTGCACAAATACAGCAAATACTTTGGTGCAATACGAATGGCCATGGGAGAAGTTTATCAGCAAGAGGAACAGTTAAATTTATTAAAATACAGCGCAGTCCAAAATGTATGCCTTACTTCACATTTTCCAAAGCCGTCCAGTGGGCCAGATCAGGGACTGTAGCGGCCTAATTCTGGCTTCTCTGCCTTATATTTGATACCCTTGTTATAGGTTTTCATTTTGAAGTTTTGGAGTTTTCCTGTAAAGTGTTCCTGGTGCAGGTTTTCTTTTGTGGGATAGACCCCATCGTGGTCCCTGCTGCGTTGCCTAGCCCTCCTGCAGAGAGAGCAGAGCACCAGCTGTCACTGTGCTAACAGTCTGACTATTATATGAGATTTAACAGCATCTTACTGTGTTTAGCTTCTTAGCCCAGTTTGACATCACTATGTCCATTTAACAGAGGCTGTTTGTGGGATACAAAGCCTTAGAAGCTGAACTCCATTACATCTTAGTTTAATTACAACACTCTTTAGTGATCTGATAAATGTTGGGGTTTGTGTGCTCCCAGACATCATTCATTGCATTTCATTATCTATCAATGCAAAGTGTTTTTTTATATTTAATGTATTATCACTAATGTCAGGTTATCAATGTGAATATTTTACATTTGAAATTGTATACAAAAACATAAGAATGTATAACTATTACATTCATTATAACTTACATGTTTGTACCATGTGATATTTGAACATCCCCAAAAAGGCCTCACTTGGACTTTAGATTTTTTAAATTAATTTATTTTCTGTTTAGTTGATAACTTAGCTCTTTAGTATGCACAGGTTTTTCGTTTTGTTTCGTTATGTTTTTTTTCTTGGGATAAAATATACTTTATTTATGAAAAAAATACAATAGAAAAATGGGAGCAAAAATTACAAAAAATCATAATAAAACACAAAAAAAGAATAATCGTGTTAAAAAACTAAACATATGACAATAAAGTATGTAAAAAGCAATGTACATTTACATTTATTTAGTGACAGATCAAAAACTGTTTTCTGTGGCTCAAGATATAAAATGCAAGAACAATTAAAACCAAGTCATTTAGTATGAATTGGTTTAAATTTGCATTACTTTACTGAAATCCAGTACTGGTCATTTTGTGGAAAAATATCTTATTGACTTGATTACTATTCTTACCCATAAATAGACTAATTTGCATCACAACTTAGGCCACCAAGGTTTGTTTGTGCCCTCTGTTTGCAGTTTGGTTCATCCATCTGCTTGCTCGGTGATAGAGCTATTAAAGGATTTAGATAAAGCTGATTTACTGCCTTCAGAGTCAGGCTGTAATTGAAGACGTGATTCATTCAGTGATGGGAGTTATACTTAGCAATGTGGATGTGTGTGGGGGGGAGGTGGTGGAGTGGGGGAGTCCAGATCACAAAGAATGAACTGTAGCTAGCGCTGCCAGCAGCAGGTGTCACTAAGGAATATATTATCGTATATAGTAATATGAAAATGATCTTAATCATCAACATGTCTATCTACAGGTGGTCTGTAGTGGTACAACTGAATCATTTGACCACCTACTCAATTCATCAATGGGCTTTGATCAGTGGTTGTTGATCAATGGTCATAGAAACTTGCATATTAATGCTCAAGGAATTGACTTCACAGTCCATTGTTCATTGAATGAGCTAGTTTCAGTCATTGTCCAAATGTACTGTTTAGGTTGGGGAAACCTGCAGTCAGCTGAGACTGAAGAAGTCACTTGGATGAGTGATGAAACATTTCTCCACTGAAAACGCTACGCGCAGATGAACAGAATCAACCTTTTGGGGTTTACTTACCTGGATGACTAAGCATGCATCAAGACATTTTTTCAGTGTTTTTATTACTGCTAATTTCTGCAATTATGTCATTCACCAAAAACAATTCCTTTACATTCATAGCAGACAAAAAACACTTCTTCAGAGCCATGGTATAGAGGACCTGCTTTGTATGTTTTGTCTCAGTGTAAGGAGTATAAATATATAACCCCAATTTACCACTTCACTGCCTCTATCTCTTCCTGTTTGCAGTGTCCTTCTCTGTCACACCAACCCCTGCATGTGCTTACTCCCATGAACCTTCTCTGTGCTGTTCCTCTTTTCCTCCTGCCTGGAAGCTCCTTCTTCAAAATCCTTTGCATAGTATATCCAACATCTGCCCTCCGCTCATGCTCAAACCATCTCAGCCTGAGGTGTTCCTTTAATCTCGTCAATTCTAATGTCAAATGGAAAAGAAATAAAGTTTTTCCTTCATTCCTCAGGCATCCTATCACTCTCCAAGAATGTGTTAACCAGTCTGGTTAAAAAGTCCCCTGTTCTCTCTCCTAGACATCGCCATTCCTTTACAGGTATGTCACTGGACCAACTGCCTTTTCGCTCTTAATTTTCTTCATCGCTCCCTTCATTTCCTCCTTACCGGTCCTATGCACTTCCTGATTATCTTTCTCTCTATCTGTCCTCCTCTCTCACTTATTTTCTTCAGTCATCTGCCTCTTGCTAAAATTGTTTATTTCAGCCCAATATGTGCAAAACATACAAAGTTAATTTGCACAAAAACAACAATCAAACAAAAGAACTTTTTGGATTTTACCCAAGGTTCCTGCCAATGTACATCTTACAGCTTATTTAGAAAAAAAATACACCAAACAAACAAAGACGTTTAGCTTTTTTATTATTATTGCATTTTAATATATGGTGCAGATGTTCCCCTTAATCAATTACATATACTGTCATAGGTCTTTCGTGTATTCGTAGTATTTTAAATTTTGCAGCTGTATCTCTTATCTTAGACCAGGAGTGTTTCTGAGCCAGTTCAAGTACAATCTGAAAACACCCAGCTGAGCCACTACCAAGATCTTAAGAAAGATGAAACCAATCTGGTATCAAAATGAGGAGCATTGAATTTCTGCTACTGAAACACTGTGATAACCACTGACTTCATCGCTTGCACTTTACAGTGTGTTGAACTACACCTGTTGTCAGCCTGTGTCCGGGTTTGGCCACTGGGCCATGTTTGACACCTCTTACTTAGATTATTATCTGTATAAAGCACTTTGTGACTTCTATTTTTGAAAACTGCTACATAAATAAATAATTTTTTAAAATCTCATAAACATCTCTTAATTTCTACTTATAGTTTAGGTTTATATTTAGGTTTACTAGCTTTGAATTTTTTGCCTTAACTAGGTTATGCTGTGACTTAGCAGGTCTAATGTTTGACTTTGGATCTCATAATTTTGATTTTAAAAGCTTTGATTTGAAAAGAAAAATCTCTTCTATCATGTTTTATGTCTTTTTAAAAATTTCTTTTTATGTCTGTGTGCAAACCATTTGGAAAAAATTAGACCAAATATTAAAAACAACTACGCAATTATTTGTTTATTGATTTTATATGGATTATTTAATACGGCATGTAGAAGTCAGCTCAGGGACGTTTGTGCGTGATGACGTTGCACAAAGAACGTAATACGTTGCTGCTGAAATGCTAATTGGAAGCTAAGTGGCTACTTTCTGCACCCTCCTTGTCTCCTGTTGTTACCTGCGGACAAGTTGGCCTGAAATACCATTAAACATATTTAGGAAACGGTTAACATTCTTCAGAGCATCTCGGTGTCCGGTGTCGGGCCGTAGCTATGGCTCTGCAAGGCCCGGAGGAGCTGGGGGAGCCGGTCGAAGAGTCGGAGGATCTGGACGACCAGGACGCTAGCAGCATCTCCCCGGCGGAGGAAATAACGCTACCCCCCGGGCCTGGAGGCGACGAGGAGACGGAGGAGGCTCTTCTGCTGCCCTGGGACCGTTTCTCCGCCTGGCTGCACTGCATTTGTGTGGTCGGCTTCGACCTGGAGCTCGGACAGGCGGTGGAGGTGAGACAAAAGTATCCGCCGGGGACAGCGGGGTCATGTTAAACTCAGTAAGGCTACAAATGTCTAAGTTAGCAGTTTTTTAGGCTTGGGCTAATTCTCGGAGGGGAGTGAACAAATCACTTTCATTAGCTGCTTTCATTTTAACACTCTTTGATTTAACAATGATTACACGAGTACACACACGCTTCACAAAACTAGCAGAACATTTTACTGTAGGATCACTTTATGACAATGCCGAGCTTACGGGGAAGCGTGTTTGGTGTCCTTAGCTGAAGTTAGTCCGTCCCAGCAGCCACTGCATCACTCAGGCTATAACTTCAAATGGACGTATTTTGCAGAAAGTTGCATATTTAAAAAAATAAATAAATAAATAATTCAACTTAAAACGGTACCCAAATGTTTTGAATCCTACTGAAGTCACAAAGGCTAAAAAATTCCCCAACACCTGTTGACCTCACCGGAGTTATAGAAACACACATTAATCAGTTACCTGATAACAATGTTTAAATGAAAAACAACTATGCAGATTCAGACTTCTTCAGGTCTTTCTGTTTCACTTTCTCCAGGGGACTGAGCTACACTAAGACTACAGAGCATTTCATCATTTTGATTTACTAATTGGATATAGTACTTAGTACGGTAAATTCATCAGCAGTACTATCAGCAGTGCAGCACATGGATCAGCATATTTGTTTGTTTGTTTGTTTTTTAATGGGTATATCAAAATTTGACTTGATTTGAATTAGTAGTGGGGGGAAATCAATACAGCATAGTATCACGATACTGTAATGATATAGGAATACCAGATACTGATTTTTAAATTAAATATTTAAAATACTCTGGGAATACTATGAACAAGATGGCTCATTTCATGCTTCACCGTGCTGAGGTAACATTAGCTGAACAAACTTAACATTAAACTGGTTCAACCAAAACCACTGGACACACTTAGCTTGACAAAGCTAAGCAGTTCAGGAGGCATCCTTTCTGCAGACAGTTGCAGTCTGACTTGGACTGACTGAAAATCGCTGTCAGAGAGACTGTCGAAGGTATGTAAATAATTGCTGTCTAATTTATAAATGCAGAATGATTGCCAAGATGCTGCTGTTGCTCTGAATGAGTCTTTGTCAACGAGCACAACTGGAAGGGACTCAACTCAACTAGCTGCTAGCTGGTTAAGAGCAAATATAATAGTTGAATATTAATTTCTGTCTAGGTAGACATTAACAGATGTGATTTTTGATGGTGTATAACAGTTAATTGCGCATTATCAGAAACAGATTGTATGTAATTGCCAACTTGACCTCATTCAATCACAGACTGATAGCAGGCTTACTCTGACTTACAGCAACATTTGTGAGTGGTTCTAATGACCATTTTGGTGTAGTTGAAGATAACGTTATCTTATTAGATAAAATTTGTCAATATTTATATTTTAACTTAAGGAGATAATTTGCTGTTTTTAAAAAAAGTGATAATTCGCAATATATGTTGTGAAAATGCAGCACATCACAAAATGTTAAAAATAGCAACAGTATCATATTTTGAGAGAAATATTTTGATAATATTGTATCGAGGGGTGTCTGGTGATTCCCACCTCTAACTTGACTATAGATAAAGTTCAATATTAAACTTTTAGATAAATGCAAGATACATTTTTTAACTGGGCAAATATTAACAAATTTTGCCATGAAAAACTGAAAGGACTATAAAAGTTTTGTTTTAAAATGTTTAATAAAACATTTTAAAACAAATCTCAACACAAGTATTAAACCAAAATGTTGTCATTGATACATTTCTAGTTTGAAAAATATAAACACTGTAGATTGTTTTTATACTAAAGGAAATCTAAAATTGTAAAAGTACAGCTATTTTTTTTTTAAGTGCTTAAAATGGGAACACTTAGAACTACAAAAATTGTGCGTATTGTGTAAACAATTAACATTATTCAGTAGTTTAAAAAAATTATTTGATTGAATTTGCTCACTTCTGTGTGTGTTTGTGGGTTTTTATTGGGTTGTATTTATTTATTTATTTATTTTTATGGTGTAAGAAATCTTCATTGTAAAACATAATTTAACTTTTATGTTTTAGTTTTTATCTTTGTCTCTCAGTCACATTAAAATCAGTTTATAACATCTTTGCATTGTATTACAGTTTTCCAGTTCTTTTTACAGTTTAACAACATAAGCACAGCACATAATAGAGGCTGACCAAAGTTTTCAGTTGTGCGTTTGTGAGATTCTTCTTTGGGTAAAGTGTTGTTTTGTTTTTTTTCTCTTCCAGGTCATTTATCCTCATCATTCCAAACTGTCGGAGAAAGAGGTGAGTTATACTCAATGGGCGGGAATTTTTTTTATTCTTTATTTTTTTAAAGAAAGGTTTGTTTTTGGAACATTTATCAACATGTTAAAAAGCATCACATGTTGATGGATTGATTCACAAAGGCCCATTCTGAGGCAGGCAAAGCCTAGTATGGGTATGTAAACCTGAGCTGATGTAATAAAAGAGGTAAGGACATAAACTAAATATTTGCTGTTCTTTCAGAAAACAAGCATCTGCTACCTTTCATTCCCTGACTCCAACTCAGGTGAGTTTGTGTTTCAGCCTTTTTCTCTTATCTCGTATCCACCAAACTGGGGCTGGAGCTGGTTCTAATGCAAATCAAGATCCAGTTTTGCCTCGTTGCTTTTTCAGAACCATTCTACAGTTTGACAGGCTTGATGACATAATTAAGTACCGTTACTGTCACATGTTATTGAACCAAAGCATGGCGGATAAAATCTGTGGCCTGAACTAGGTCATCTAAAACGGACAAATACACGCACATCCTCATCAGAAGAGCTCACGCACTGCACGTTTTTTGATTTGCAAACTAGATACTATACAAAATAGGCACTCTTTCTGCACCTCTGTAGTCATGAGAGAGACACGTTACATTATTGTTTTTTTTGTTTTTGTTTTAACAGCTTTCAGATTTTTCATCAGTGATGGAAAAATTTGCTAACATCTGGTTGGGTGCTGCTTGAAAAGACCTAGTTTATACAAGGTGTTGGCTGTAATGCTAGGTGCAGCTCTTTCCAACTCTGTGTGGGATGTGTATAAAAATGGTTGTAATTCCTAAACAGTCATTCCTGTAGTTAATGCAATACTCCTTCTAAACACTTTGGATTAAAGCTGAGAGTCTACACTTCAGTCACATCTTGATTGTTTGAAATCCACTGCATAGGTCCATAAATATTTGGAGAAGTAACTGTAGGTGGATGGATATCAGCTGAACAGCATTAAGTCATAAAATTTTTTACTTATTCTTTTTTTTTTTTTTGGTAACTTCAGTATTTTTTTCACTGATACTCTTAGATTTTTTTTAAATTACTAAAATATTAAATGTAAGATAGATTACGGTATAGTGGTTAGCGCACTCACCACACACCCATGTACAAACACCACTGTGGCTTTGTGTGTTTGCCCGCAGGTGTGTGTTTTAGTTTACTGAGTCAGAGGGGGGTGAAGCTAAAGGAACCTGCTGCCCTCAGTTTGAAGACAGGATTAGGACAGACTGCTTACAGGGCTGCTATATATATCTCTCACTGTAGGTGTTTGTCAGAGAGAAAGGGGGAGAGAGACATTAAACTGAGGAACTGCAGCTCTCTTTCTCTCTGTGTGTGTCATCCATAATTTAGCCTTACACCCTGAACAGATTTGGCATAATTTGTCATTAATCCACTTTGGGAATTCAGAATAAATGGTGACAGATGAATATTTTTTTTGTGCTCTTTATTTGGAAACTGCTGACTCTTCATGCGTCTCATACCCAATAGAGCTTTATAAAACAAGTTATTGTGCATAAATGAATAGGCCAGTAATCGGATCAGATGTAAGGTTGCTCTACATTTGTGCGACTACCTCCATCCGTTTCCTTCCAGGCTGAGCAAGCAGCAATTTAAGTGGAGATGCTCAGACCTGCCTCTTCTTCATCTGTACTGGGGGAGGGGGTAAAAAGTCAAGTCATTTGTAAAAACGTATTTAATTCTGATGCTGCCTGTCCTGTGAACTCTACATGGCATTGGTCAACTTGTTGTTAAAAGGGGACTGATGTGATTTGTGGAAAATAAAGCTAAGAGCTTTAAAGTCTTTCTTTAAGTACACAGAAGTATTCGGACTGTGTTTGCTTTCCTCAGGTTTGTAGGTGACATGTTTGAGTGACTAGAAACTCAAAATTAATTCAGAGCTGTGGTTGAGCTGTGGTCCGGCAGCAGTGGCCTGTTTTCATGCTGTGTGGTCTTGAATGCAACCCGACTGAATGATGTCATGGAGTCTTGGCTGTCCTTTTCTGGTGCTCCTGGTAGTGTGTGCTTATGTATGCGTGACTTATGAAGTGGAATGCTTTTAAGTCTACCAGCCTGCGCTGAAGTGTTTGTCTTTCTTTGAATGTCCTAAAGCTCATTTTCTCTGTCTAAAGATGTGTTGACCTCTGCTGAGGTTAACTTCTGGTTCATGGCTTATGCAGGACTTCCTGTTTCCTTTTTTCTTTCGTTTTCCTCTTCCTGTTTGCCTAAAAGACCAGAGGATGCAGGCTAGAAGAGCTGACCAGTGCTCATCGACGTCACATTTTTCTGCAGCGTACATTTTTTAATTCTTTATTTTTACAGGTGTGCACAATGCAGATGTGTACAGAAATAGGTTGTGGTGGATTCTGCAGTGTTTTTGTTTCTTGTTTCTCAAAGGTGATTTTTTTTTTTTTTAATCTATTTATGATCACACTTATAATCTTAGTTTAAAGTTAGCTGAGGACAGTGCAGTTTTTCTTCTTCAGAACAAATTAAGTTGTATATTTTTTTGATTTTCATACACAAGTGACTTGGGTTTAAAGAATAATTTAGTACAAGTTTTTGAATGTTCCTAAAGTTTTGTAGCAGTCCTTTGCTAATGTGCCTTTATGAAATGATTTCTATTTTTTTCCCAGCTTATGTATATTTTGGTTCTATATGCTAGTCTGAGCTTAGAAAATTCTGGAATATGCATCCATATTTATATGTATTCACCATGTTTATCTGCATAGTGTTTGGAAGCTGGGATAAGCTGGGCTTTTAATGAAATCCTCTAAACACTGCAGCCGTCTTGGATTAAATCCGGGTGGCTGTCTGGATATTTTATAAACAAAAGTTTATTTAAGTTTAATTAAATTAAACCCCATGCATCACCACAAAAACATGATTGGTTTCCTGTGTTTGCTGATTTTCTCCCATATGTTTTTATTCAGGTCTTAAAATGTCTCTTGTTTACTGTGGGTGACAATCGGTCATTGCTCTGCCCTTTTTTTCCAGGTTGCCTTGGTGACACACAGTTCTGCTTCCGGTTCCGGCAGGGTTCCAACAGGAAGACGTCACTTGGCTGCTTCTTGGAAACCACTGACAGAGATGCGCCACCTTGTCTGAAGGTTAGGCACCGCTCATTAACACACACACAGCTCTGTAGGCACATAAACTGCACAGTGTAGAGTTTTGTGTGCTGAGAGTAAAATAAGAATCTGTGAACTGATAATTTGCTGTGTGTGTGTGTGTTACAGAGGGAGCAGGGCCATTACTATGGTTATGTGTACTTCCGTCAGGTGCGAGACAAATCTTTGAAGAGAGGATACTTCCAGAAGGTCAGTGTCATACTGCAGGAGCACTAAATACAGCCGGTGATAGAAAACTTAAGCATCAACAAGGATCCAGCACACAATGCACTGTGTTAAAAATTTGAGAGAGATTATGCTTCCTGTTACCACAATAGGACTTATAATGGTTTTAAGCGATTTTTTTTTTTTTTTTTTTTTTTTTTCCATATTTCAGAGATTAAATGGTTTCAACAACAACTTTTGGTTATGATTTTAGGCTTACAATAGTAGTACTCCCACTTCAGGCAAGGCTACATTGTGATTAACTGTATTAGCACTCTCCTTGATAGAAAAACTGCATGCATGTTAAATTTGATATATATAATTATCTAAAATGATTTATTTTTACCCGACGCTATTTCAAAAGGCTTTTGCATCTCACTCCTCCCATCTGATCACTGAACAAATGCCAAATTAATTCACCTTATGTTTATTTGGCACCTTCCTTAATAGAATGATGATGTGATAGATGGATTTAATGTGGCGCAAATGTAACATTATACTTTATCATGACCGCAGGTATACAGAGGGTTAAAATAAGAAACAAAGGCCCATGTCGAGCATACACTAGTTCAAGCTTTGGGTTTGATTCTCAGTTTTTATTTGCAGTTTAAAAACCATAAGACATTTATTTGTTCCACGTCTTTGTTTTGTGACACTTTTGAGATTTCTTGTAGTTTTCTGCTTTTGCTAGCTGATGCTCTTTGGGGTTTAATCTATTACTAGACAAAAGGAGGGATTGTCGGCTCACTATATTCTGACATCTTTCAGACAAAATCAAAATCAAACCACTAAAAAAAATTACATACTGATGAAATGTCTGAAAATACAATTCCCTCTTCTTTTTTTTTTTTTTTTTCTTTCTTTCTTGCTGTCCCTGTCTCTTTCCAGTCTCTCGTCTTGATCAGTCAGCTGCCCTATGTGACCTTCTTCCACTCGCTGCTGAAGATTATGGCTCCTGAATACTTTGAGAAACAGGAGCCCTGCCTGGAGGCTGGTCAGTTTGATTACCTGTCTGTATGCAATCATTTGTGTAATCCTGTCTCAGCTCCGTGTGGTCCAGAAGAGTTAACTACACAGTCCTTAGTTCACACTTTTACAGTGCTTTCACATCCTAGTTACATCTAGTTTCAGCATTTTTATTTTTATGGCACAACGTATCAGCTTGGCAGCAGGTCCGCTGTACTGAGACTTCTCAGTTTATCAGATGTCACCGTAAGCTTGGTTCGCCTCTTACAAAGTTTAGAGAAACCAGTTTGTTGCACATTTAATCACAAGACATGTATTTTATATCTGTTCTCAGGAATGAGTTTCCTCTCGTCTGTTTAGGTTTTGAGGACTTCAAGAATACAGCAAAATGAGATTTCATTGATATGGTCAGACTTGAAAAAGATGTTTTACTTAGAACTAAGGAACAATTTAAGATGTTGACAGCCAAACCAAACTGTCACTGTCTAATTCAGAGAAATAGTAAAAAAAAGATAAATATAATTTTAAAATGACTAAAACTGCTTTTATTTTTATTTTTATTTTTTTTTAACTTTCATTAACCAAAAACCACAAAATAGAAATGTCCTCTTAGAGCAAGTTTTTCCCTCTAAAGTCAGTGTCTCTAGTATTTAATATCTAATATGTGTTGGAAGTACTGCTTTTCAGTAATTTCATCCAGGCTAGTAACAAACAAGGAGAGCCCATGCAGAATAGGGTTTAATTAGTCACCAAATTACCTAATCAATAATTGGTGCAGTGAGATGTGAGAGTATGGTAAACAGTACTACCTAAGGTGTCTCATTGAAAAAGTATCTAAAGTTGGATATGGCTGCAAAAACAAAATAACCAAGAAAACCAAGAGAGGATTGTGGATAAGTGTGTTTTCACACCTGTGGTGTTTAGTCCATTTAGTTCACAGTAATTGGACTTAAGTATAGACCAAAACAGCTGCACTGTGACCCTTTGAAGGAATAAACCCCAGAGTTGTTTGTTTATGGTGTGATGTGATTAGACCATGATCCGAACGAAATGCAAGGTGTATGTTACAAATTTGAGATAAAAAAAAAAATCCCATAACCACGTATGCTTTGTATTCTCAATGTTGGAAGGTACTGCAGATGTGCAAAGGTCTGTAGGGGCTAGCAGCTAGATGTGAAATCAATGTAAATTCTCCATGTTCTCCAGTGGTCCAGAATACAGCACCTTCCTCCTGTATTTACTTTTGTTGCTCCACTCATTGCTCCTGGCCAGTGAGTGGATTCATATGGGCTCAAATTGTGTTCATAAATATTTTGTACTTGTAAATCAGTTTTGTACTTGTAAATCAGGATTTGTGTGTGTAAAAAAAGATTTGTGTGTGGACTTAGCCAAAAAATAGGTGTGAAACTCTGCACTCAAGTTTCAAGTTATAAGTACGAATTTTGACCCTGTTTTTCTTCCTTTCATCTGATTGGCTAATGTCATGTCAATCACAAATTTAACTATCCAATCAGAGAACAGGTGGGTTTGGCTATTGGAGGGGTTCTTTATGGAGCTTCAGGTCCTTGAAGGGAATAAATGCCTTTTTACATGCCAGCCCAGTGTTTTCCTTCATCAACACGAAGTAAAACAGTCTGTGGTCTGTGGTGATTTTTTTTTTTTTTGTGTCACAGGTTTACGTGCTTAATACAGGGACCTCCAGGGCCTTTTCAACAGCGCTGCGGACCGCTGGTGGTGGTGGGGGGGGGCAGTATTGTGGAAATGACAGTCTTCACTAGTGGGGATAGTTACAAAGCTTTCTTCGTTATTAATGAGCATACATGTTTTTATTGAATATTTGAAGAACCAGCATAAAAAAACAGAAACTCTTGAAGAGGACATAAAGTCAGAGATAGAAAAGACAAGGAGCAGGTGCATCAGTACAGGTAGAGCTGCTGCAAAAACCCACAGAGCCCAGCAGCCAGTGCAACAAATTCTGGATCCTTTGCTTTTAGTTAGCAGTTAGTATTAGCAGCACATGCTGCGTCCAATGTGAAAGTACCTTTATGCTGCACACTGTGACTCAGCCATTGTCCCGGGTCAGCCCTGACTTTGTGTTAAACTAATCCTAAAGTAATAATGGTATTTCTAACTACTGATATACCACAACTTTATCCTTTCAACAGCTGCTGAAAGTTAGGGGACCTAGCTGCTATCGGATATTTACATAGAGATCCTCCAGCTTCAAACTGTATTACCCTTCAAGGACCTGCAGTTCAAAGAAGCGCCCCATCGACAGCCAAACCCATCTGTTCTCTGATTGGATAGTTAAATTTGTGATTGACATGACATTGGCCAATCAGATGAAAGGAAGAAAAACAGGGTCAAAATTCGTACTTGTAAGTTTAAACTTGAGTGCAGAGTTTCACACCTATTTTTTGGCGAAGTCCACACACAAATCTGTTTTACACACACAAATTCTTTTTACACATACAAATCCTGATTTACAAGTACAAAATATTTATGACCACAATTTGAGCCCATAGACTCACATGGTTTGTAGTGATGCATTTTGGCTTGCTTGGAGTTCCTTATGTGAAAAAACCACACCAAACCAAACAATGTGAAAAAAGTTCTAAACTAAGTTTACAAACTCATCAGCTGATTCGGACCAGAGTATATGAACTATAAGTGGAGACAGTGTGGACTAAAAGAGGGGTTGTCCTGTTGGGCACACCCACCTCTCAGGTGCAGCCACTTTTTTGATGACCTTCCCAGACTGCTCCTAAAGTAATCAGGAAGGTGTGGGAGCCTTGGAGGGTCGGCCAACCCACTGTTTTACCCATGTCTAATTGGAAACTATTTATAGGGATTGTAGATTCTAGTTGATTATAGATTAATACCGACCAGTATAAGGCAATGATGCCATCTTTAATTTGGTAAGGGATGATCCCCTTATTTTGAAAGTTTGATTGCACATTGACTAAGGAATTGTAAATAACAAGTGGTTTGCCAAGTCAGAAAGCAGTGACTGTAGCTGCTGACCAGTCTCCATGATTGTGAACTTGTCTTGCCACAGAAGATGAAGAATATCAGAGAGGCAGCCAATTATTTCTGTATACTTAAATAAATCCTTTTTCTGTTTTCAGAGAAGATCCTTTTTAATTCAAAATTGTTGTTGTGTTTGATAGCGTGTAATGACATCGATCGCTGGCCAACGCCTCATCCTGGACGAATCCTGACGCTGCCTATCATGGGTGTAGTCCTCAAGGTACACTCACGCACTAAGTTGAAATCAGCAGATGTTTAGTTTTGACATGTCGTGACAGGTAAAGAACAGGTCTAATTAATAACTTTAAAGATGGCTCGATTCAATTTCCCACAATAGGCAAATATTTGTTTAATCAGGCAGTCTTGTTCAGGTAGAACAAGAATGCTTCGCAGTCAGCAGTAACCTGTACTTTAAAGCAACATTTAGGGGCTTAGTGAGGTAACTTCAATGTTTTCAGTGTTATGGAGTTGGTTCACTACTTCTGTGTCCTTCGTGTCTTTTATTTTGTTTTAAAGAGTACAAATTGGTACAGTTCTGGAACTGAAGGTTTGGTTTAGTTAAGTTTATCACTTTAATGAGTGTTTTAATACATTTGTATATAAAAAAAAAAAAAAATCTGATTTCAAAGTGCTTTAATTCAGCAGTCGTTCACTGTTAATGATCAAAACGTGTTATTAGAGTGGGTCTTTGAATTTTACGTGGTTGCTGGTAGGGAGCATAACAACAGCAGTGGCTACAATGACTCCAGACATGCTCGTAAAAGTATGAAACGAGTTTGATTATTGTAAGGATGAATGTTGTAAGTCTAGGGTTTGGTTGTAACTAAAGATTATTTTCTTCAATTACTCAATTAGACAACGACTATTTCAGTAACTCTTATCTCCGCTTCCTGTGGGCAGACCTTCTGTTCTATGCTCCATCACCCTGTTGTCTCGTCCCACAGCAAATTAAAATAAAAACCCAGGAAGCATATGAATTTGAAAATAATCAAATGTATTTCTAACAGTTCTCAATATGACAGAGTAAAAATGAAATAAATAATATTATTTAAGTAATACAAATTAAAGTGCTAGTAGTATTTAAACAAAAAATAACTGCAAACAAGAAACTAAAAATAGTTTCTGTGTAAAAGTTCAAACAAACTTCAAAGCAAAAAGATTTTTTCCAGTCCAAAAAGAGAAGTTTCCAAAGTTTACAGATGATTCAGTTCATGAATTTACGATTGCACTAAACATAATGTGGAGTGAGGTTTGCTCCTATCTTTGAGATGATGTTCCCAACTGCTGCTAAAGATGCACTCTTTCATGACTTCAGCCATTTAAGAGTTGCATGATCCTCTTTTCAGGACAAACTCTTCCATATGCCTGTGGATAATACTAGTAAGAAGGAGCTAAACAGAATTAGAAAAGGCCGTCACTAATTACAAATGTGGTTGTCTATCATTGTTTCTCTGATGAAAATCTGTGCTATGTGCTGCAGGTTCGCATCCCAACCTCTTATGATAAACCAGGAACGTCACAGCTGGTCCAATCCGCCCAGGTGATCTTACACTCGTGTGTGCACAAACACTCAGTGTCTGTTTGTATGATGTCTGATGACACACTGAGCATTATGTGAATATTAAAGCTGAAAGTGTGTTTTTGTGTTTTAGAGTGATAGCATGGTGTCCATTGTGCTCCCAACAATTCATGAAGTGGACCTCTTCAGGTGAGTCCTGCAGGTCAATGCTGATTTAGACTAAATCGTTATAGAGCCTAAGATGCAACCTATGTTACATAATAGTCTCATTGCCACATTAAAGCTTGTGATTGGTGTTAATTAGCTTGTTGTCATGTCCCAGTCTGTCTTTTCGTGCAAGTCTTGGTTGCCGGCATCCATCCATTCTCTTCTGCTTATCAGGGTGCTAGAGTGTATCCCAGCTGTCATTCACACCTATAGAATCATCAATTAACCCAGACCTTCCCAAAGAGTGGGGCCTGCCCCCTAGGGGGGCGCAGAGCCATTGCAGGTGGGGGGGGGGGCACGGTATGAAAAGGAAAAAAAAAGCAAAAAATACCCGCTTGGACACTGCTAGCATAATGGACAGCTTTTTGACGGGGCGCCCACACAAATGCAAAGCAGGAGATGAAGCATAGCTCAATATGTTTCCAAACCAACTTCATCCTAAGCCGAAGACTAGAAAATCTGGTGAAGCATATCTTCCCTTTGGCTTCACCTGCACAAGTGCCAAGGTAGGTCTCCCCTGCATAATTGGTTTTCCCTTCGTCTGGAGCATGTGCTGGGTTCTTCAAATCACAAACAGTATCCCACATTCTTGATTTTTAGTTCACAAACACTTCTTGTAATGACTAACTACTCATAACATTTTGGAGATGTTAGCTCTTTATACAGTAAAGTTACAGTGGGATACAAATAATATCAGGCTGATCCTGCCACAATTTGTTCCCCCTTTTCAAATCACGGACAAACAGTATCCCACAGCTGTTTATGTTTTTAAACCCATTTTGCACAGAGAGGCATTTTTTGAAAAATGTATTGATAGCAATGTTGAAATTTATTACACAGGAAAAAAAACAACTACACGTAAAATAATCACACCGTGACGCCTCTGCCTTTGTAAATAAAGGGACATTAACTGCGTGTGTGTATGTGTAAACCTGCAGATAGAGACAAAATACTGTTAATCTGAATATCTGCCAGTCTGCAATTCATCTCATGTAAACAATAACGTGGCGCACAGAGTAACGTGAAAAAAGGCACATACCTTTGACATTGCGTGACCAACTCTGTATTCCTCGTCCACATGTAAACGCAAAAAAGGAGTTTTAAATAATCTCAGTTTTCGGTGATTCGAAACGCCGTTTACATGTGGACGAAAGGTCCAAACACAGAAACAGCTGCGTTTTCAAAAATACCCGTGTAGGTGTGGACGTAGCGTAAAAGAGTTAGTAGTTTATTTTCTTACTACCTGTAATTTATTGCAGAGTACTTGTATTTAGTTAATTGTTTACTAAATGTTTAAGGTGTGAAATAAACCGCAATGGAGCAAAATGTGTGTGTGTGTGTGTGTGGTTAAAGGATGTGTTTGGGCGGCAAACATTTTTCTTGTAAAACAAAGGGGTGCCTGGCAAAAAAAGTTTGGGAACCACTGAATTAACCTAACCTCAATAATTGCATCTCTTTGCACTGTGGGAGGAACTTCACGCAGAAATTCCACCGTACTCCCAGATGGTGGAGTCGAACTCGAGACCTTCTTTCTGCACCGTGCTGCCAGCATATTTTATGTATTTTACCATTATTGTTGTGTGACAATGTCTAGATTGGATTAGCGTTATTTATATGTTAGGATTGTTTAGGTAATTTTTGGATATTTTTTTAGTGACTTGCTTTGGTATGATAATGTATGTTGGGATTGTATTTGGTGTATGTTATCTGATGTTTGGGCCCCTATTTTATAAGTCGAGAAAGGCAATCTCCATCCATTTGTTACAAATGTGTGTCATTATATTGCTGATCATCATAACTTACATCGAGGTAATAATTGTTATGCTCTCACTGATCTGTTTGAAATCTGGTGCGTGGCACTGAACGAGCCAGTCGGCTGCAGATTGCATCGGTGTGAATTTCCAGGGACGTACACGTCAGGTTAAGGTGTAACGTGTACCTACAGGGTAGATTTAACACAGAAATTTAAGTCCTCTGTCACAGTGTTCTTCTTGCTTCGGACATGTTTTGTCCCCACCTGCTGCTTAATCATGGTACTGTCACTGAATCAAGAACAACATCACTTGATGCTTCAGCTGAGGAGAACTGCTTATCCAAAACAAAACACTGAGAGAAAGTGAAGACAGGCCTTTCGCAAGGAGGGTTGATTTCAGTGTTTAGTTGGCGTCTCTGAAAACTTGCTTCTACCTTGTGTCTCTGTGGGGGAGGTGCAGACAAAATGAATAGTCATGCCCATTATTAAAAGGTCAGAGTTACTGTTTTGGGTGCTCTGCTGTGTAAATCAGCATATTCTGTATTCAGGTAAAAAAAGAATATTAATCACCTAGCTTGGTGGTTGTGCTCCTGACCAAATCTGCTGAAACCTTTTAAGACTTTCAGGTTCTGAGGTAAATTAATAAAATTGAAATCTAGCAGTTCAACAAGGTTCAACCTGAGAATGTAACACAGGCATGTGTCTTTGACGTTGCCAAAATTGACTTGGTTTGAAATTGGTTTGCAAACAGTGGGAAAGAGACTTACTCCACTCATTGTGTCCCCCCAGGTGTTTCTATCCAGTCTTCTTCCATCTCCAGATGCTTTGGGAGTTGGTGTTGCTGGGGGAGGCACTTGTTGTCATGGCGCCATCACCAGCCGAGTCATCTGATACTGTGCTAGCTTTGGTCAGGTAAGTTAGCAGCGGTTATTGTGCCAGGATAATATATAGACCAGTACTTAACAACAAACCCAAAGCTAATTTTTATATAATTTTGTGTCTTCATGTTCAGGAAAATTTGATGTATGACACCTAGACATGTCTTCCTGTTATAAATGTGTTATAAAGTGTAATTTATAGTCCAGCAAATGAGTCGGTCTACATATGTTTCTGTTTGTACAGTGATCAGACAGGTGTTTTTCCATCCAACGCACACTGTCATATGCGTCAGTAAAATGCTGATTTGTTTGCGCTTGGCCTGGAATAGGCCAAGCGCATTATATTTAAAATGTGAATACTTGAGATGTCTACAAAATAAGTGTGATTTTTATTAATAAAAACCCCCCCCAACTTAATCCTGTCGCCTTCACGTGTTTTATGTTGAAAAAAGTCACAAAAATGCCAGATGTACCAAAACTTATAAAAATTTAAACTCAAATATTAAGACTGACATTTACTTTCTTCTTC